AAATAAAGGAAAATAACAATAGGAAGACGGCAGAAGATCTACTGTCTGCGGACTTTCCAGGGAAAAGCGAATGTAACGACTGAAACTAGGGATTCAAAGACAGTCTGTACGCTCGCATCCAGGATGGTCCTTGCTTACGCGAGAACAGTACAGGCGTAAATTTTCTGTCACTTGAGAGCGCACGGAATTAAGGCTGAAGGGTAGTTATTCATGGGTGCTGCTTGGGTCCCCACCCGGTAGTCCACAAGGTGGAGCTCTTGCATCGACGCCAAGGTCCCGCATCGAAGGACTTACGCGGCGATAGAAAGCAACTAGAAAATGAGAGGGCATAGACAAGTAGCGCGTTTGGCTATGGTTGGGCGTACGGCTAATAGTGCGGCAGTCCGAGCTGAGTTTGAAACCTGCCCGGATACCACTAGCCTCCAGCTCCGTTTCGGTTTCTTGCACTTTTAGGCGGAGGCAGCGGCCCGCTGCTGCATGCGGTCCCATTCACCTAACGATTGGCGAGGACCAGTCCCTCAGGAATTGAGTGTGCAGTTGACCTTCAAAGCGCGGAGATGTGCCAACGCCATTGTGGACGAGGAACTTGCCACAACTCATAGCACTGATCCTCAGAGCAACACCTCTGCCATCAACGGCGATGACGACATCTCGCCGCTCTGAACGCATCGCTTAGCGTGCCTCCAGGTATGTCAGTTCTGAAGCGTCATGAATTCAAGTAACGTAAGACTGTGTGCGTACCGTTCTTGGCTTCGGTATGGGAAATTGTTGCACAGAAGAAGGAAAAGGTGAAGGAAGCCGTCCTTGAACCTGAATGACCCATTTCAGCTTTGAATTAACCAGAAAAGTACATTTAAATCCATTCAGAATCATCATGATCGTTCTACTTTCAATAAAAACAGTCTTCTTTCCTGAGTGCTTGAGGGCAGCGAAGAGCTTTGGGGAGGGAGAAGTGTAGCGTCAGTTATCTCCTTATCTCTAGGCTAAGCAGCGATCCTCACCCCTAGCCCACAATGCATTTTTCTCCCTTCTAGCACCGCAGGCGCTAGCTATTTAGTTTAAGGAAGAAAGCGATGAGTGAACCCTCCTTCTTCTCAGCTTCAGCCTTGGAAGCGCAGACGACCAGGTAGGTGTAGCTTCGTTTCTGGAGCAAAAAAGAAAAGCGCGACGAAGAAGCCGTTGCGGACGAGAGAGGACAAGACAGTCGCGATTTTTCGCGTGGTCGCGCGCGGTGTATCGTGCGGGAATGCGCCACAAATTTTCAGCTTGTCGACTGAAGCAGCGAAACTTGTATGCATTCAAGCGGGGGCAAAACTCCGTGACGGGCTATATCCTGTCCCAGGTCTTTTTAAGCAGTCGAGCCAACACTGAGTTCAGACAATTCGTCTGTCGGGTCGGTGGTATCGCTCGACACGCTCACCAGTTGCGACCGGTACAATTTGTCTTTGGCATATTTCCCTTAAGAGAGACTGGGGAGAGCGGGTTGGTGCAGCAGCGTCTCGCTGTCCTTTACTGCTCGCTTGCCTATCCTCAGTCAACTTAGCTAGTGAGAGCGGACGATGCGCCCACTCGGAAGTAACGCCGTAGGCTCCAACGGTAGAGTCCGCCGCTCCTCGAACCAGCCCGAGAAGCAGATTTGGATGCCGCAGATGTGGCCTTCTGCTTTTTGTACATCCAATTAAAAGTACTCTCATTTCTGATCGACCAACTCCGAAGCTGACGCTTACAACCACCCCTCCCCCCTGTTCTCCTCGCCCTCTTACCCTATGCTCAGGCAGACGTCTTTCCGTTCATTGCAAGAGTCGTAGTTTTGCACAAGCAGATCTTTACGTGCCAGCTTGGGTATTAGAAACGAAATAAAACCTCGAACCTTAACTGCTCAAAAAATTCACCTGTACTTCAGTCGTAGTGTTGTTCGGAACACCATGCTGTACGGCGGTTTTGTGCTCATTTTCTTGTGTGAGAGACGTTTTCTCATCTGCATGAGAATCGCCTTTCCCTCCGTCGTCGACCTCCATGGGGCTCTGCTCGTTGTTAACTCCAGCGCTGATTTGTATTGGTGGTGGAGGTGCATGTCGTCGTGGTGGTGGTGGTCGTGGTGGGGGACACTTTTGTAGGCGATTTTCGAACAAGGCTATTTTCTTCGTTACAGTGTTACTGTCATTTGGCACTTCTGTTTCGCCGGTTGCCTGCTCCCACAGGCCGCTAATCCGTTTTTGCTCTTCAGCAGGCAAAGCTGACATCCAGTGCATCTCGGGTTTAGCTTCTGAACGATCCCTCAATGTCATCCTCGCTGGACTAGCTTGAGAGCTGACTGATGCAGAAACAGGAATCGCATCATCCAAGCGTAACTTCATTTCACCCAACACGTCTGGCCGCTCTAGAATCTGAACAGGTTGAACTTTTTTCACAGCGTATGCCATCAAAGCGAAGAAAATCAAAGGAATCCAAGGAATCTTGATGCAACGTTCTCACCAGAGATGGGACAGACTGTTGCTCAATTTTCTCGGGAGTTCTTATGAGGTGTTCAGATAGCGGCTTGAGCGGGCTCGTAGGAGCCTGAGGTCTCCTGCAACCAATACTGCCCATTATTATTTGGCTGATTTGCATA